GACTCATCTATTGTACTTAGATGGATCTAGAGAGTACAAAGCCATATGGTTACAAATGGCAAAATGTCATTCTGTGTTATGGCTGAGTGATATTCTGTGTGTGTGTATCACATCTTCTTTATACGTTATCTACGGATGGACACTTGGACTGCTCCCATATGTTGGCAATTATAAATAATGCTGCAATATACATAGGGGCTCATATATCTTTTTGAATGGGTGTTTTTTGGGATCCCTGGGTGGCACAGCGGTTTGGCGCCTGCCTTTGGCCTAGGGCGCGATTCTGGAGACCTGGGATCGAATCCCACGTCAGACTCCCGGTGCATGGAGCCTGCTTCTCCCTCTGCCTGTGTCTCTGCCTTTCTCTCTCTCTGTGTGACTATCATAAATAAATAAAAATTAAAAAAAAAAAGAAACTGGCTTTTTTGAATGGGTGTTTTTGTATTCTCTGTGTAAATACCTAGTAGTGAAATTACTGGGTCATGTGCTATTTCATTTTTTTTTTTGAGGCATATAAAGGCTTATTTTATTGAATAACTGATCTGTGTAATTGCTGAGGCCACTATGTACAGACAAAAGAGTGGTCTCTTCCTCCTTGGACAGAGGCGTGGTGATTTCCTCCTTTTTGGCCTGGAGTAGCTCTTCACGGCACTGGTATGCTTCCTTGGTCTTAGATCTGTGGGCCTCAGCCTGGTCAGCCAGAAGCTTCTTGTGCGCTTTGTCTGCCTCAGCTGGTGGATGGGATTTTTGATGAAAATACACCTGTTTTTAACGGGCTATACCCTTCACTTCCAGGTACAGGCTGTGATATATGTGGCGGTAAATCTTAGATACAAGGTACCATCTAAACAGCCAGCATGAGATTCTCATCCTCCTTGCCCAGGTCCCCTTCTCAGGCATTCGAACCCTGGCAGTACCTTTTCTCTTACTGATGCCCATATGCCTGCCTTTCTGGTGGCCAAGGTGTTTTTCCGACACTGAGCCTGAGAATGGACAGTCACAGGCTTCTGGATGATCACCCCATTCCTGATCGGTTTTTCAACCTGCTGATGAGAGTTGGTATTGCTGATAGCATTGGGGCCCACCCAGACCTCCTTCTTGCCACAGGGGAGGACTCTGGAGGCAGGCCTCTTCTGAAGTCTAAGCATACTTATGGCTACAGCCACATTGATAAACGGAAAGTGTTAGCTTTTTGAGGAGCCTCCTTACTGTTTTCCATGGTGGCTGTGTCAGTTTGCATTCCTACCAACAGTGCAAGAGGGTTCCTTTTTCTCCACATTCTTGCTTACTTTTGTTGTTTCCTGTGTTTTTTATTTTAGCCATTCTGACAGGGATGAAGTAATACTTCATTGTGGTTTTGATTTGCATTTCCCTGATGATAAGTGATGTCAAACAACTTTTTGTGTATCTGTTGGCCATCTGGATGTCTTCTTTGGAGAAATACCTGTTTATGTCTTCTCATTTTTAAATTGGATTATTTGTTTTTTAGATGTTGAGTTGTATCACTTCCATATATATTTTGGATAGTAACCCGTCATCAGATATGTCATTTGCAACAACTATCTTCTCTCATTCCGTAGATTGTCTTTTAGTTTTGTAGATTGTTTCCTTTGCTGTGCAGAAGTTTTTTATTTTGATGCAGTCCCACTTGTTTATTTTTGCTTTTGTTTTCCTGACCAAAACTGAGGAACTGTTACTGTTGAACAAGACTTGGTTGGCAGAATGATGGAAATGGGTTTAATGGATAACAGAGTAATTTGGTGTTTGAGTAGTATGACAATCCAAAAACCAAGGGTTATTTTGGGTTATACAGGAAAAGAAATGACTCAAAATTTGAAGAAGGGAGGGAGAGAAAAGTACTGGAAGACTACTTTATCTTAAGAGGAGTGGTTCAGAGATGTTTGTCAGCAGAAAATCTCCGTGGATACAAACTGGTCACTGCTTATCTTTTGTGAGGTGATCTGCTTCCCTTTTCTATATCTGATATGAGAAATAGTGACTAGATTCAATTATAACTTTTCTTAACTTGTTTGGGGACATCAAAGGTAGGCTTTTTTTTTTCTGGAGTCATTATTAATTAGCAAGAATATACAAATTCTCCTGATTGTGCATGTGTTAGAACTGTAGAATAGCTCACACTTTTGTGTCCTCCCTGTTTGAACTTAGGTAAGTTGTCTCAGGAAGACAATGACCTTTGTGTTACTGTATCACGTGCTTCCTAAAACCAGTTTATCAAATAATTCTGTTCCAAGATGAAAAAAGCATTGTGATATGTGAATGATCAAGATACACCTGACTTGCTTCACAGGATTGTCTAAGGATCCCTTTCCAAACCCATCTACTAAACATGGTATCCTCCTTAAACGAAGATGAGCACCAACCTAACATCATTAGGATCTGAACTTTTGAATATTTTTCAATAGAAGTAGCACAAAAGGAAGCTTATTATTTGGGTGTTCTGGGCAGAACACTCTATGAGAGAAATTATTGCATTGGGCATATCCCCATCTTTGCAGAAGGATGGGCTAATGCCTATTTAGGGCAATTTTCCTTCTGAAGTTCAGAATACTTATATCACTGGAGATCATTTTTACAATAAGTGCCAATATGTCTCTGTAAGGTTTAAACAGCAAAATGTGCTATCACTAAAGTTTTGTTGTATAGAATCTAAAGGTATGTGTAAATGGCAGACTTGAGGGAGGTATTAGTTTAATTTTCGAGTTAGATTGAACTCAATGAAAAGTATTTTGATGCTGTTAATATGTGTGCTACTCATCAGGAGAGATATTACTTCTTGAATTACTTCCCAGTGTGCATTTGAGTAACAATTAAATGCTTGATAAACAAAGTAAACAGACACATATTATGTGACCCATATTACCTACCAAGCAATAAACCTGTGGGACAATAAATAGGTGGATATTTTAGATTGGGTGGTCAATAACATTTAAATTGAGATCTAAATGATAAGGACCAGTCAACTATTTAGAAATGCAGGTGACCTTTCCAGGTATGGTAAGGGCAAAAGCTTCAAAGTGAGAATGAGCTTGGCCTGTCAGGGGACCAAAAAGAAGGCCACTAAAGCTGGAATGGAGGGATCTGGGACAGAATGGTAGGACACGAAGCTGGAGAGAGGTACAGATCATGTAGTACTTTGTGAGTCAGGATAAGGAATTTAGGTTCCGTACTTAGTAAGATGGGAAGCCATCTGTGTATTTTTTTAATTTATTTTTTAGGATTTTATTTATTTATTCATGAGACACACACACACACACACACACACACACACACACAGGCAGAGGGAGAAGCAGACTCCATGCAGGGAGCCTGACATGGGACTCGATCCTGGATCTCCAGGATCAGGCCCTGGGCTGAAGGCGACGCTAAACTGGGGAGCCACCCGGGCTGCCCCATCCGTGTATTTTAAGAGTAAAAATACTCTGGTTGGTCCTAAATTATGGATTAGAGGAAGGCAAGAGAAGATGGGATGGAGCTGGAAGTGTAGGCAAGATATACGTTGGGGCAACTGTCCAGAACAGGTAGTAGTAATCGGGACAGAGAAAAGTGAATGGGGTTAGGAGGAGTTGAAAAAAAATGTGGTGAAGGAAGCCATGGGCAGGCAATTAAGAAGGTCTAAGTGAAGAAAACAACACCTCTCCTACAGGAACTTCAGTTTGCATCCAGGCCATAAGGATGCCCACCTTTTATTTTTTTATTTTTACTATTAGATTTTTTCTTTCTTTTTTATAAATTTATTTTTTATTGATGTTCAATTCGCCAACATGTAGAATAATACCCAGTGCTCCTCCCATCAAGTGCCTCCCTCAGTGCCCGTCACCCAGTCATTTGGGGAGTATAAAAGACACCCACGTTTTAAAAACCAGTCTTCCCAAGTCACTGAGCATCTGGCCCATCAGTGACTTCTGAACTCTAGAGATATTTTTATAATCAGGGGCTTGGATTTTTTGCTCCCTTTGCTTTCTTTCTATACAGGCTTCTTGGATATCAGGAGTGGGTGGTGGGTAACAGGGCTTCTGAGGATGGTGAATTTGCCCTAAGGAAAAGCTGAGATACTGCCTACCGCCCCTTACTTGGGCAGCCTCCTAGTCAAAAAGGAGAGGCAGGGAGGCTTAGCGCTTATTGTGCTACAGGCTGGAAGTTTTACACCTTAAAACTCATTCCCTCCTTGTGAGGCGCATATTTAAATACCAGTTTTACAGGAGACACACACACTCACGTAGGTTCTTTATTTTGCTCAAAGTCACACAGCTTGTAAGTGGTGGAGCCAGGACTGGATCAGAATGGGACTCTCTGTGCTCGCCACATTGCCCCCGAATTGGAGTTGGTCTGTTTTCCTGCTTTTCTCATCACCACATAGGTTCCATCAAGAGCTCATCCTGGGGAAGGCCATGATTTCCTCTTTGTTGTATTTACTATGTTTCCCCCACCCCCACCCCACATAGTGCCCTAGTAAAACGTTCACCAAACGTGCCTGCCCAGAGGCGACACTCGGTACTTGCTGCCGCCTAAGGGGCTGGGGTGACAGGACTGGCGGGGTGGATTGCTTTGCGGCTGCTGCTGCTGCTGCTGCTGCTCCTGCTCCTCGGGAATGAGGAGCGACTCGGCTGCTGTGCCTTGGCTCGAAGGCATTTTCCATTTCCTAGCCGCCCCCCTCTTCCTCCTCCTCCATCCCTCAGCTGTCGCCCCCCCCACCCCCGTTTCAGCTCTGGCCCCTTTGGGGGAGCATCCCTTGCTGCGGGGCTGACAGCCCTGGGAGCGGGTCCCTGTTCTCCGCGCTCTGGCTCGGTGCGCAGAGCTTGGTTCGCGGGCGCGCGGTGTCCAGCGGGCACTGATGTCAAGCGGTGGCGGGGCACTGCCTACCGACGGCTGACCTGGACCCTCCTCCACACCCACTTCCTTCGGCGCCCGCCCCCCCTCGGCTCGGGCTCTCTATAAAAGGCGAGAGCGCAGGGTGCCTCGGCGGCACCGACTTCAGCACCATGGAGAGCCCCCGCCTCCGGCCGCTGACCCTCCTGGGTGCCGCCCTGCTCTTGCTGCTGCCTCTGCTGGGTGCCCGCGCCCAGGACGATGCTGAGCTCCAGCCCCGAGCCCTGGACATCTACTCTGCCGTGGACGACGCCTCCCATGAGAAGGAGCTGGTGGGTATCCCCCGGACCCCCCTCCTGACTGCCGCCTGGTCCTTTCCTTTGTGGCCGTCCTCCCTCTCTCCCTCCTTCTCTCCCCACGCCCGTTGCCAGAGCCGGGGTGCAGGCAGATAAAAAACCAGTAAAGCCCTGGTTTGCATCTGGAAATCGTCTGGAGCCCACTGCTTCAGGCAGTTTGTATAGTGAATCCCTTGTCCCGGGCCCTCGGAGCAACAGGAGCCGCAGCAGCTGAGGGAGTTGCGGTCAGTGTGGGAAGCAGTGCTGGTTGGGTGAACACCCACCCAAGCCGTCCTTGGAGTCCGGGCCGAGTGTGGTGCGGGGAGCTTCGTAGCTAGGGCTGGGGGCGAGCACCTGGGCTGGGCTTGCGGCCAGTGCGGCAGCTTCGGGCTCCGGGGCGGGGGGGCGATGTGTTGCAGATCGAAGCGCTCCAGGAAGTCCTGAAGAAGCTCAAGACTAAAAGTATTCCGATCTATGAGAAGAAGTACGGCCAAGTCCCCATGGTAAGGGTTTGGGGTCACCCTCTTCCTGTTTTCTCAAGAGGAGATATGCCAGCTTGAGTCTGATATATGACCTTCGCCCTAGGATGTGGGTAAATCAGGTAATGGGTTGACAGAGTTCTGCGGGCTGCCTTTTGTATTCTGCCTCCAGACCATGCCCCTTGGTCTCTAAGGGCAGAGAGCGGAAGGGCCATTCGGGGGATCCAAGAGCTGGTGCCAGGAACCAGCTCTTGGGTCTGTGTGGAAAGGAGCATTTCTTGTGGATGAGCTTTTCCTCATCTCATGATAAATTCTCTGAATTGGAGGAGCCCTTAAATCTACTCAGTGCTTGTTCCTCCAGTTTTCTTCTTGCCAGCTAGAGCACTGCCAGTTTTTCTGATCTATGTTTTAAGGTCAAAATTATTGGTTTCTGGCTTGTCACTTTCCTTGGGGAATTACACACATGCACACTTGTGTTTTTTCTCTCTCTGTGTGTCACACACAGACACACACACACACACACACACACACACACACACCTTCATTGGGATGAGGAGACTTGAAAGCAGGGAGCAGAGGTTGTGAGAAAATACAGGTCTATTGTTTATTTCTTAGAAAAATGTCTGGTTGATTATTTTTCTTTTCGATAAACAGCTCAGAGAGCCAGAATAATGTACCATATCCCCGAAAAAATAAAGAGTGGAATAAAATAGGAGGGGCTCAATAATCACTTTTTTTTTTCCTTTTTATGATCTCTCACTGAAATGTTAAAGCTCTCTGTGTTTCAGGTCTGACTGTACTTACACCTCTGGTGATGGTGATAGGTTCTATCTATCTGACCCAAGAGGCAGACGTTGTGTTGATGGGGAGGTGGGCCTGTTGGGAGCCTGGGTTTGCTTATTTGGGGAGACCACACACTGTATCGTTTGCAGTGCCACGCTGGGGAGCGGTGTGCGGTGAGAAAAGGAGCGAGGATTGGGAAGCTGTGCGACTGTCCCCGAGGAACCACCTGCAATTCTTTCCTTTTGAAGTGTTTGTGAGGTGTCCACCCGCCTACATAAATCCCCACTGCCCTTACTTCCCCGAGAGGACCACACCTTCATCCCTGGAGTTCAGCTGTAGCAACAAAGTTTGCATTTCCCTCTGAGGGTTAAGGCGCCCTTTTCCTGCTGTTCACGAATAAAAGAACACATTAGATGTTACTGTGTGAAGGATAATGCCTTTTATGGTGTTGATACATGTGCAAAGTATTCTTTCCTCATCCACCTGACAAACTCTTACGTATCTGTGTAAAGAAGGGGAACTTCGCTTTGAAAATTGTATTTTTGTATGTGGTGTGGCAGGATAAAAATTAGACTTAGTTAATCTTGGTAGGTGATGTCACAACCTGGAAGATGACCCTCAATGACACAAATTGCAGCATGTACAAATTATACATAATAAAGTGTTTTTAATAATTGCTCATTCTGTGTTGTTGTTTCTATGTCATAAGTAATTTAAGTAAGAATGGTAGAATTAATCATGCTTTTGTTTTCAAAGAGAAATATTTTAAAAATAACAGTCTATTGGGAGAACAGCACCTTGGCTCCAAGGAGTTTTCATCATTAATTGGGAGTTTGCCACACAAGCTTTGATGCACTCTATTTTTTTTTTTTTAATTGCAGTGGTGTGTGGGGTGGTGATGGTGGTGGGGAGGGGTGTGTGTGTGTGTGTGTGTGTGTGTGTTAATTGGAGATGGTTGGAGTTGAGCTGATGTGATATCGTTTATTAAAATCTCTAGTAGAATCCTTAATTTTCACAGTGAGAATAATAAAAGATGAATTGTTTCAAACTATAGCCCCATTGAAAGCAGTTTGAAAAAAAAAAGGGATTTTTGTTTTGGCTACTCTTTTATTAGAAAATATTCATTGATAGAAAATGGATTCTTTGGGGCTTATTTTATGTCCAAAGGAAGAGAAATGGCTGTATTAGGTGCTTTAAGGGTATGAGTCCCAATCATTCCCACTACTTAAAAGATAATCTTGGAAAATTTATCCCTTCAAAGGAAAAATAGTCATTTTAGTGAACAGTTTCGAGGCGGCGGGGGGTGGGGGGAGACAAATGATAGGTGGTAGATGCAACTCAAGAAATATACAAATCTTAAATGTAAAGGTTAGTAGCCTTTAAATGTTTTTGAATGTTTGCCTGAGGTCACATTTCTAAGGGTTTAAGTCAGAGTAAATAACATGTAAGAAGCAGCACTGTGAGACAAACAGGTGCTTCTGGCTTCACAATGCAAACTCAAGAGGCACTTGCATAATATTAGCATTAAAAAAGAAAAATCCCTCCCCTGCTTCCTGGGGAAATAGAGTATGCTAAGAGAAAATATTCTCACACATAATTGCTATCTGCAATATTCTTATTGTTGTTATTAGCATGGCTCATTCCCTTAATAGTCTTTCAAGATACATATTCTTACTATTTTTCAGAGAAGGAAGCAGAGGCCAAGAGAGATGATGGAAATCATCTTGGTCAGGTGACATAATCCTAAATCACGATTTCAGCTCTAATCCCTCTGCCTCCCAAAATTTATTTGCCTTTTGCTTCCCTATCACTCTGGGCAGTTGAACAGGTTGTTTGGACTCCCAAATTCCCCAGAAAGCACTTCTTTCTTTAATAGAAATTAGCTCACTCGGGTGCCGATGTATTTTGGGGGGTCACGTTGCTATTTGATTCCTCTTTGACAGGCTTAGTTATGATTGAAATGGGTTTGCATTTTAATCCTGAGAAACTGCCTAGAGTTCTTTAATGGTTTCATTGTCTGCTACTTTTCCAGAAAATATTTAAAATCCTAATCTTCATCTTGAGTCCTTTAACTGTTCTCGTTCACGACAGTCCTAAATAAATAAGATCAGGAAATTGCTTTAATCATTGATTAGTGTACAGGCAGGACCCTGAGGGATAACACTGAGAGGTGCTTCCTATTGCAGCCTGGAATATTTCCCCAAAGAGGAAGAGACCCTCTTCCTGGAGGACTTCGATGTTCAAAAGACAGGAATAAGAATCTGTCTTGGGTGACAGGCACTGAGGAGGGCACATGATGAGATGAGCACTGGGTACTATACTATATGTTGGTGAATTTAATTAAAATTAAAAAAATAAATGGTTAATACAAAAAATAATTCTGTTCTGAACCCCTTTAACTCACCCCTACTTCTATGTCACCCCATTCTCTGTTTCTTTTGACTGAAGGATATGGACTTATGGGGCACTGGTAATGAGGAATCAGTGTGCGGGCTTTTTCCAAAGGTTTTGTCTGGAGATCCAAATTTCAAGTTCACGGTGGTAATGACAGTCTGTACTAATGATAGCAACATTTCATCTGAAGTCGTTTGGGGGACGTAACTTTGCCTTCTCATTTTATCAGTTAGACTTCCTCTTCAAGTAGAATGCCTTACTATGTTTAATGACTGAAGGTCTCTGTGGTAGAAGATAGGAATGTTAAATGTTAAAAAAAAGAAAAAAAAAGTAGTTATCCATGGGCAATCAGTTGTGTAGGAGCCCCAGAGATCTTCTGAGATTGGCTGAAGAATCAGGGCTCTGAGAGTTGACCAAGTGTCTATCTCTAAAGATCTGAAGAACATTACAGGCATAGGAATGATGTTTCTAGAGCAATGCTTCTCACAGGGTCTAGAGGTGATGGGTGGAAGTTACCAGAGGACTTTTCTCAACGACACGCACCCACTGCGTTCCCTACGGTAATTGCTGGTGTTTCACCCCTCACTCTCTGCTAGAATCCAGAGGCCTGTGAGGGACACATGCTGTAGTGAGGTACCCAGATGCCCTTCACAAGCTTGATGATGGTTCATCTGACTCTGGTTATTGAAAAATATTCTTTCTTGACCAGACTTGAGTCAGGCTCTTGGACCTCCTTCTGTGCACTCCCTTACAAAATCCAGTTTTAGCAAGAACACTGCTAAATCAATTTATTATATGTGCTGTCGAAGCAAGCACCCTGCTGAATCAATTTATCAACAGTCCCCCCATCCTTCTCGTCTCCCACCATCACCCAGGTGACATCTGAGCACTCTAACCTGTCTTTAGCAAAGATCCTGTCAGGTTGGTTTCTCTGGAATTTCCTTGACCCCTGATGTATCCCATTAGTAATTTCCCATCTAATTCTTGGCTATAAATTCTTACTTGCCCATGCTAAATTAGGAACTGAGCCTTGTTCTGTACTGAAGTTTCTTTTCCCATATTGCAGTAGACTTGAACAAAATCTATTTCTATGGTTATAATGACAGTCCAGCTCTGGTTTTTCTTTGACAACTAGGTAAGACTATTTGGGATTGTGTAGTTTATTTATTTTTTATTAAAGATTATTTATTTATTTATTCATAGAGACACAGAGAGAGAGGCAGAGACACAGGCAGAGGGAGAAGCTGGCTCCTTGCAGGGAGCCTGATGTGGGACTCAATCCCAGGTCTCTGGGATCAGGCCCTGGGCTGAAGGCGGCGCTAAACCGCTGAACCACCCAGGCTGCCCGGGATTGTGTAGTTTAAATAATATCCTCAGACTGTTTTGTGAAGCTTCCTACCCTAGAACCACTAGGAACTACTGAACAGGAACTACTGAACTTGTTTTTAGCTAGTCTTATTCATTCTACACTTTTTTGAGTGACTTCCATGTGCTGGGTATTGAGAACATAATGATAAGACAGACATAATCCTCGTTTTTGAGTTTACAATCAAATGATTTATAGGCTTTTGGTGAGAATAAATAAGAAACAAAAATATAAGCCATAATAAATTCTATGACTTTATCTATTTATGAATTCTATGAATTTATGTTGACATGATGAGGCCATGGGCTCTTAGAAAATGAATACCAGAGGTGCCTGGGTAGCTCAGTCAGTTAATGTCTGCCTTTGGCTCAGATCATGATCCCAGGGTCCTGGAAAGGAGCCCCACATCAGGGGGGTCCCTACTCAGTGGGGAGTCTGCTTCTCCCTCTACCTCTGCTGCTCCCCCTGTTTGTGCTCTTTCTCAAATAAATAAATAAAATCTCAAAAAAAAAAAAAAGAAAAAATGAATACCAGATAAAGAATGGTCAAATGGCTTTCTCTGTAAATACGCCTTTGGGCCCCATCAGGTACATTTTTGCCTTGACCAAGTGGAATCTGCAGATGTTTATAGATCAGGAATATCTCAAGGGGAAGCAAGGCTGAGAGTAGGGAGGGTGGTGATTCTGGCATCAGCTTTCAGTGTCCTTTATTTCACTGATGGATGGTTGGCTAAATATAATTCTCTCTTGCCTGGCTAATGCGTGTTTCTAATTTGTTTCCTTTGCCTTTGTAGATGTAGGTGCTCTGTTCAGGATCTCTAGTCTAGAGGGTCTATCAGCACAACTGTTTTGGCTTGAGAATAGTTTATGCAGATATTTCTAACTGATGTTCCCTGAACTACTGAGAAGAGGAATCAGCAAAAAAGAAAGAGATCAAACATTTAGAAGGAAGAGGAGGTAATTGATGAAGTGAAGCTTTTGTCAGGAATGGGGGGATGGGATTCAGAGCTAGGAAAAAGACAGCTTTGGGAAGAAAGGAGAGCAAATGGTATGTAAAGATATAAGGGACTTTAATATGTGTGTTGGCAGAGGTTGTGGGTAGTTATTTTATTTCTGTTTTCTAAGGGAAGTAGAATAAGAACTTATCTGCTGAGAAGAAAGTGAAGCAAATTATCTATTTAATAATTATATATATATGCAGTATAGAAACTGATGATAGCCTAATCTCTACTATAATGTGGCAGATTTATTTTAAGACATGATATGTTAGGTACTAGACAGAGTAGGATAAATTTAGAGGGCACAGAGGTGAATTATCAAGGCTTATAGACGGAAGTGGTATTTGAGTATTCTTTGAAGAATGTGTAATATTTCAAAATGTGAAGATTGGGGAAATTTTGTTTAAGATGTGGGAAATACTGTGAATGAAAGTGTGCAAGGAGGGACACCTGGTTGGCTAGTTGGTAGAGCAGGCAACTCTTGTTCTCAGGGTTGTGTGTTAGAGCCCCATGTTAGGTGTAGAGATTACTTAAAAATAAAATATTTTTTAAAAGTGTGTAAAAAATGCAGTT